TTTTTTCCAAACACATTTTATTGTTAATTTAAGACCTTTTTTAAGACCACAATGAATTGAAGTCAAGCCGTTGGTAACTGCAGTTGGTAACATGACTTCGGACTATTGTTTTAATCTGGTTATTATCAGAATGTTGGTGTCCATGAAAGACCAAAAACACACGCTACAAACTATGCATGCCGCCACAACATTTCTCTTTCAAGGACTCATTTTATAGCACAGCAGAAGAAGTGTTAAATACGTTTAGATCTAGGGCTTCATTATGTTTTAACATTTAAGACCTTGTAAGTAATATTTCATTGTATTTAAGACATTTTTTGTAATTACAGTTGTCTCCATTTTACTTTTTTTAAGTGTATATATACTGTCTGAACTACACTGGAAATAGTTAATAATTAAGAATTTATATAAAGGCTCATCCAGTCTGCATGAGGCAAAGCATCAGTCGTCAGCTGGCCACAGAGAAGCAGTCACATGCTTTTCAGATTGCCAGACACGATAGCTGAACTAGTCTCTGTGTTTTATAAAGAGATGCAGAGAGGCTGACACGTGCTAAAAAAGGTTAAAAAAATAAATCCAGGCCAGAGCAGAGAGGGCCACACGACCCACTTACGAAGCGGGTCTCCCTGCCTGTCAGGGAGCTGTTGGAAGAGTGGTGGCTGGGCTACAGGTGTGAGGAGAGGTCAAAGGGTCAAATGTAAAATAGCTCTTGTATAGTGTTGGAGGTGACTCATGGAGAAGGAGAAAATAAAGAAAAGAGATGATATGAACACATGATTTGTAATAGAGATGACTGGTGGGTGTTAGAGCTGCTCACCGGTTGGATAGTGGGGGAGTAGGGTGTCTCCCTGATGGGGCTGTCTGTCCTGGTGAAATCAGAGGAAGGTGCCTGGACAATAAAAGAGGAAAACACACTTTACACCTGCTTCTACTTTCACTGAAGGCAGCTGAAAGAAAAAGTGAAGAAAAACACAAAAAAACGTGTTTCACTCAGATTAAACCCACAACAAGCTCCTGCTGATAAACATGCACTTCACTGTGCGTGTTGTAGGTCGCGTTCCTTCATGACTTATGACCCTGCTCACAGCTGCTGGGGCAGACATTCCACTCGATCCTAACTCCAAACCGACTATGTGCCCGAATACCTCACGAGGTGCCACAAGTTCTGTGCTCACAGCAAAAACATGCACAGGTCCAGCTCCTTATTACACCGAGATCAATACACGCAAACATGGAGGCACTTCCCGAGAGAAAAGGTATCTCCCTGCAACATCATCAGATTTCTTCCAAACAATTAGAAACCCAAAACAAACTTGGTTCTAGAATTGGCAAGTATTCACATTTTAAAGCAGATAAATCAGATAATTTTGGCATTTTTTCCTTTAAAAAGGATTAAAAGCTATAATTAAATCGTATCATATCAATTTGCAGAAACTGCAGCAGCTCTACATCTGAATGATTTGTTCTTACATATGTGGTACTTCGATAAACGTCAATATTAAAATCTGTTAACGCTAATTTGATCTAAAAATCTTTTACTTGTGACTGTTAACGATTTAAAACTTGCGTACAGTCGCGATATAAAACGTACGATCCAGTACAGAGGACACAATGAAGCCAAACAACAAACAGTGTGCAGTAACACTCCATGCTGCCTCCAAACCACACTCAAGCAGGCGGCTTGCCTTGCTGAACAACCACGGCTGCAGCTGGCCTTGTTTCCCGTAGCCGACAGGAGGGCCTGACAGGATCTGCTGTCCAGGGGGGCGTCCCTTTCCCTTGCGATTGGCCAACAAGAAAGGGTTCTCTTTGAAGCAGATAGACTGAGAGTCCACCATGCACTCCTCGTCTTCAGGAGAAAATGTTGCTGAGTTTATGGTTGTTGATGAGCCGGCGCTGTCGGCACTGGAACTCCCATTGGGGGCGAACTGGGATCCGTTGAGAAAATCATGCTCTGAGTTTAGACCAGGGCAGGACTCAGGATCCATGTGGCTGAGAGGGTTTGTGGGGTGAACTAAGCTGAAGCCCACAGGCTCTAAAGGGGCTCCGTACTGGGCCTGCAGGGGGGCCTCCATGGGAGCAGTCACAGTGGAAGAGGTAGAGAACTGAACAAGAAGTAAAAGGAGGAGGACAGATGCAGTGAAGTGACAGAAGGGAGGACAGAAAAAATTCACTCACTCACTATAACTCGTTAAATGAAAGTTAGAGACACGTTAAGATACGTTTGTCGCTGCTCATCATTCAAGACTGATGATACTGGACACATAACTGCAGTTCAGGCACTTCAGGCCTCTGCCTTAAATAACCATATTATCAGAGCAGCGAGACATTTGGGCTCCAGCACAACTTCACTCCTACTGTACTTAGCAGAGAAGACAGCTGGTGACACGAGGAGAGAAAATATGTGACGTTTGAATCAACCCTCGTAAAGAAACGTGATACTGGAAGTACACGTCGGGTGTTTTTACATATTTAAGACCTAAAAATGCAGAAACCTTTAAGTTAATCCATAAAATGAAGCATGCAAACATTGGAATATATATTTATGGATGTGACAGCGACATATCTGGTCATTATCAAAATAGTCACACCAAGAAGAACGTGCATTGTGTGTGCGTGCGTGTCTACATGCTGACTATAAGAGTCGGTAGCGTGATGAGGGTCAGTGGGATGGAATGTGAACGAGTGGCCTTTTGGCACCGACACGGACTGTGAGGGACAGCTGGGGTTGTGGTGTGAGAGGAAAGCGAGGCTGCCGGCTCGCTGGGATGCCAACATACTGAGTTCGCCCTGCTGGGAAAAGCTGCGCGTCAAAGAGACCGAGAACTGAACAACTGATACTCTTACTGAAATCTTTATTTAATAGGTGAAATGTTGGTCACAAACATAAAGTCGTTTTCAAAGTATCTTAAAATTATGATAGATTAAAAAGTTGGCTCAATTTATATGAAAGACATATAAAGAGAGTCCTCCGTGAAATATTTGATTCATGAATCTGAACAAATCATCTTTGAGGATTCTCAAAACACATTCAGGACAGACACCTTCATGGTTTCTCTGAGATTGAATTCTCGATCAGAAATAAAGAAAACCTGGGGCTAAGTTTTTGTTAAAATGATGCAATTTAATTAATAGGCACCCTGGTCACTTTTATGTGAAAGTAAGTGTGGTTATCTTGTATTACCGATGGTTTAGGCAAGTTTAAACCTATTTAAAATATATCAATGCAATGATAAGCAGCTAATTGTGGGTGTGCGTTCATCAGAATGATCAGGTCAAATCAAATCAAGACTCTTAACAGCTTTCTGCTTATTGATTCATTGGTTAAAAGTTCACTAAAATACACACAGGGTTTGAATTTATCGGCTGCTTTACCGGCATGTCCAACAAAATACTTGAAATCAGTCTTACTGGGTCACTATTGGGACACATTTTTTTAGCAGGACCACATGTGCTGGAGCAGCAAATCCTGCTTTGATACCCAGAGCATGAATAGAGTATGTTCGCTCTGCTCGACAATCTAAAAAGACCTGAGATGTGTAAGTAAGCAGTAATTTATCTTAATGCTGGATATAGTTTGAAAATATGTATTTAAATAAGTGATTATTTTTTCTAAATCAAGAAAAAAAATCCTGAATTCTTCACAAAACAATCAAACTCAACACAGACACAGAAAGACAGACGAGAATCAGAGACAACAACAAAAAGGAAATAAAAGGTAAGACCGTTAACTCTCGTCCGTTGAGCAGCTTGATACTCACTGTAGGGTGGTGACGGGACAGCACTGGATGTCAAACTTACTCCTCCGAGGACTTTGAGAACTTCAACTGAAACACTTGTGTGTTTGACGATACCCTCCCTTCTCTGTCTGGAACCCCACCCACCAGAGAGACTCCATCCAATTCTGAGCGAGATGCAGGTTTAAAATATCACAGAGAACAGGCCGCTTGATAGTGGGCAGCTGTCCCCTTCCCCCATCACGCCACCTCTCTCTTACACACTTAGACCATTTATCAACCAGGACAGTGCCAAGCTTCCGTTGTACTGTATGTATACTTCTTTTAGTCTTCTTTCCTTTCTGTTTTTCCCAGATGAGTTTGATCTTGAGATCCTTTTTCCGAACTCCATTATAAATCCTTGGTCCAAGTTGGTCGAGGCCGCTCTTGTTTTTTAATGTAAATCAACTGACTTGATTCGGTGTATGGGTTTGGCCTTGGAGCCTGAGGTGTCCAGTCCGTCATGTGGACTTAGGGTTATGCACATGGACGGGAGGTCAACATTCTCGCTCCCAGAGCCGAAATTGGTCGACCGTGGGGCACTGAAGAGTTTTCAGGGGACATAAACATGACGGATTCCACAAGGAAATCTATTCTGAGCTTTGGGGGCCGTTTCTCACATAGGCCACACAAGACTGCCCGCAATTTACAACCCAAAAGAAACGAACCTTTTCTTGAGAAGACTGCACTCTTTTTAGAAATGCTTTCCATACGATTTTTAAGATCTTAGATCAGTGACACTCACCCTGTTGACCTTCTGCAGACTGGTGGTGGGAAGTGCAGCCAGGGTTTTGTAGTCAAGTTTTAAAGGTCCAGTGCCGATGTTCTACATTGAAATAAATAGAAACAGAGGTGAGAAGAGGTCTAGGCTAAAGTTTATTATACAGCAACAGGCATCTTGTTTAACTGGGACAGGCCTGTTAATGGAAGTGTAGACAACCTGCTGCGAGGTTAAGGACCCAAACTTCTTATTTCCAAAATAAACAGACTAGAGAAAACCCGAAACTCTCAACATGTTATGTGTTTTTATATTAAAGGAAGGTAAAGTCAAAGTTTGAAATGGTTTCATCCTTTCCGCCTGAAACAAAACCAACCTGGACTACCATTTAGGAACATTAATATGTTAATATGTGGCTATTAAATAAACTGAAGGATATGGAGATTTTACCTTTATGTCCCCTGAACATCTGTTTTCATAGCTCACCATCCCCTGTCCAGTTAAACTAACCCATTCTGAATAATGCCAGAAATGGATTTATTGAAAATCCAGGGATAAGTTGCACAGGAAGAAATCCTGTGGCAGCTGATCTGTGGTGTTTGTGGTTCAGGAGCTGTGTTTTTTTTTTTTTACACCGACAGGAGAGTTTGTCTGAGGACCTGCCGTCGAGGAGTGTCTCACCTCAGTCTCCTCTTCTAGCAGGCGAGTTGCCTCCTCACGATCCAAGCGCATTCGCTCCTTCACCAAGACAGGAAGTGGAGGAGGAGGAGAGTACAGAGGGAAGACACCCAACCACACAGCCACACAGTGATGCAATGAGGAGGAAAAGAAGTGATGCAGGGGGAGAAGTGGAGAGAAATAACAGAAGAGTATGGAGGTGGTATGGAGATGATTGGATGAATTTGTATCACACCAAACACGCCAAAGGTGAAGGAGAGATGAGAGAAAAAAAGAAGGGGAAAAAGGATAGAATCCACACACATTAGAAAGTGATCTATTCATTAGCTACGGGAGCAGAAAAAGCATGCGAGGCGGGACATTGCAGGATTTCTGTCAAACACAATACCCACATACGGTGCAGAGGAGAAGCTTCATTCACCCGGTAACAGACAAACCTGAGCATCTGACTCTAACGCTCCACCTCGAGTTTTGCAAAAATTAAAGTCTAACGCCTCCTTGTATTTTTATGTTTCAGCAGATCTCACCTTTCCCCCCAACAGTAATTGATTGTGAGTCTAACTTACCACTTTCTCCATCTCTTCACGCTCCCACTGTGACGTTTCTCTCACCATCTCAGACTCCTGGAGAAGAGCAAGATATAAAGATCCTTACTGCCCCAATAAATGATCAATAATCATCTTAGATCGCCTGCGTGATTTAAACCAACAAAATGTCCATGTGAATCATGTTTTGACAGTGTCTGCTCTGACGAAGGTTGTGTCACCAGAAACTCTCGATTACTGCGTGCGTAGGTCCAGAGGAACAACAAAAACTAGTATTCAATAAAACCAACGGGCCCCTACATTCCTTTAGGATGGGCAGCCTCCCAAACGCTAATCTGGACAAAATAAACAACTGTGCTGGCGCTTTCTGGCTGATCTGGTGGAAACACGGGTATGTGCAGTGTGCATGGTTGGAGTGAGTCAAACGTGATTCCATTTCTAACACCAAACTGCTGTGGAAGCAGTGTTGGTGTAACTGAATCGCTGAACTAAACATTTGATTCACGCGTCGACATGAAAAGTATTTTGACGATGCCAAATTGTACTGTGGGTTCTGGTGTCTGGTCTGTCGTTGATGACTAAGTATATATAATCAGTTATGATGAATTATGAGTGTATAAAAGAATATTTAATCTGTATTTCACCTTCTGCATGATGTCTATTTCCTCTGGGCTCAGATCTCGGTCTATAGAAGAGATGCTTTCCATGCTGTTCTTACGCACAATCCCTGTTGCAAACGGGTTTGCAATGATGCCAGGAGATGCCTGGAAATAGACAGAATACTTTTTTAAACAGTGGGCAATTTTAAAGAATTTGATGGTAAAACAAAAAATATTTCCAAGTTCCAGCCCCTTAAATGTCATGCGTCATTGGATTTTGGAATCTGAAGACGTACTTCTTTAGATGTGTTAAATTTCTCACCTCCCCAGCTGCCACTTTGTTTGGGTCGAAACCGTCACACACCAGCATGACCAGAGAGTCTCCCACAGCACGAAGCACCCGCACTGCCTCCGTGTGCGTCATCCCCAGCAGGCTGTGGTTGTTCACCTCCAGGATCCGCATGCCAACCTGCAGTCGGGCGTCTCTTGCTGCTGCGCCACTTGAGCTCACCTGTTTGACAACCAATGACAAGCGGTTTAACACAGGAAGAGCCAAGCCTCAAATGTACACATTTTTCAAATGAAATTGACAGTCACATATTAACTTCAACCAGCTCGGCTGAAGCAAAGAGAAGGAACTCTGGGCTCCAGCACCTTCAAATGTGGTCAAAAAGCTTCCAAATGTGTAACGATGAAGTGATAATTAAACGTTTTACCTTTGAGATGAAGATTCCTTCATCCGTGGGGTCAAAGGGGTTTCCAGCATGACCCTTGGCCCCTCCACGAATACTGATGCCGAGCTTCTCCCCTGGCTGCTTCTGGATAATAATTTCCTGCATCCCGGGCGGTGAAGGATCCCTCCGCACCAACATACGAATCTCCTGCTTGTTGGCCAGCAGGGCTCGCACAGCCTCCTGGTGAGTGGCATGACGCAGGTCGATGGCGTTCACCTCCAATATTCGGTCTCCAACGCGAAGTCCGCTTTGACATGCCAGGCCCTGAGGAATCACCTAATGTTGAGAGGGGGCATGGAAAGTGAGACACCATAGCAGTGGTAGTACTACAAGAGATTTTAGGAGTAGGAACATTTTTAGAAAACAAGGAAAAATACCTTTGAAATGAACACCCCAGGCTCGTTGATGCCGAATGGATGACTGGCGTGATCACTACCTCCCACAATGCTCAAGCCAAGGGGGCCACCTGATTTCACCAGGATTACCTCCTGTTAGGATTAAAGGGTAGAAAAAGAAAATAGATTATAATGGATGCAGACCGAGTGCAAGAAAAGTTATTTAACAAAACATGTCACAAGTAAAATCTACTAAAGACAAACAACAGAAATCCATCATTACCAACCCGTTTTGTTTCTAACAGCCAGGTCTCTATTTCTAAAAACACAAACCAACCTGTTTTCACTGTGACATGTTTACAGCTATCAGTAGCTAACTTAGTAATATCTTTGCATTATTCCCTGTCTGGGAATGATACAGCTGCCATCTAAAGTACACCATTGTTTAAATGAGATCAAGTCCTCATACCATGCTCCATCTTCTCTGGAACTGGACGGCATTAAGGATAAGGCAGGAGCCACATGAACAAACATTAACGCTGAGTTCTTCAATGAGGCTTCTACAGCATGAGCCAAAGAACCCAAAAGTCTTGTCAGTAAAAGTGCTCAAGTCACTTCCAGGCGCCTCACCTCGATTGGGTACTCGTCTTCCATCCGACCCAGGTGGTTCCCGTGAATCGAGAGGCCTTCTTCCTCCTGGTCCGGTGAATCGGAGGGTTCTGGCGGTGGAGGGGAGTGGGCACGTGCCCGGGATTGACCTGGAGAGCCCCCTGGTGAATTCGGGTCTCGCTCCACCAGGAGAGCGATTGTGGGGGAGGTGCCGGTAAGGAGCGCTACTGCCTGGTCATGCCTGGCCTCTGTCATGTCTACACCATTGATCTGAATTGACAGTAAAAGCAACCACGAAAGGTGTCAGCCCACCACAACGCCGTCAGTGACAACTGGCCCCACTTGCCGCTGGGAGGATAAACATTTATCTCTCATCAGATTCTACATCTTTGTAATCAAAACTGTTTTAGAAATCTGTTTAACATCTATCACATTGTGATTTGAATCCACTGGGATTGTGTGAGTGCTATTTAAAGAAGAGCCCAACACCTACAGAGCAAGAGGAACAGGCAGAGAAAAGAGGGAGCAGGAGTAACAGCAGGCCGCTGCAGGCGGATTAAGCTGGTAGAGCTTCCCTGAGGGAGAGAGGCTAAGAGCAAGCAAAGCTATTTCTTCCATGAAATTCCATAAAATCAGTTTATTAATGCTTGTGCTGCAATCTTTTAACAGACTTCCCCACCCTTTCTTGCCTTTGTTTACTTAAATCACAAGTGCAAGTGTCCAAAACGTTTGAGCTTAAGTCAACAAAGGCAAACAGGGAAGTTCTTTATCATCTGCAACTTTGCAGAGAAACATTTTTTTTTAAGAAAATATCCATTCATTAGTTTTTTAAAACGTCCCTCTGTCGGATTAAAAGAAGAGCCGTCTTTCCGGCATGCACGATCTTAAAAACTGTACTGCGACAAGCAGAGGTCAGCACTGACCCGACAGCACCAGCTCTTACCATCGGCGGAAATGCTGCTGTGCCTGCTGCCATGGTAACACACATGTCTACCATGTCAGCAGGCCTGCAGGCTTAGACCACCACCCCAACACCATCCCCACCACCACGCCGGCAGAGAGAGGCACTTAATGCATTAGTGAGCATGCAGAGGAAGAGGGAGAGAGGAAAGGAGGAAGGCTACGAGAGAAGAGAAAGAGAAACTGCCGCAGGAAAGAGGAGCAACTGTTACAATAAAAGAGGAGCACTTTTATATTCAGTGGACTTGAGGGACTTTTTAAAATCTGTCATCATTGGTGGATTTACAGAAACAGTGAGTGACACAATAATGAATAAAATCAAGCACTAACTATTGTGCTGACTAGATACAGGACAGAAAAGCAAAGATATGATTGATGAGCAGTTGTTCATTAGTGAACTTTGTCAGCTGCATTATTGTAAAATCTATCCATCTATATTTATATAACCCAAGTGTGATCTATTATTGTTAGGGAAAGCAGTGTTGTTTTTTTAATGAGGCATCCTCCATTGTTGTCTGTAGTCAGGCCCCAAACTATTATACTGACATTAATGGTGAAATTCAGTGTCATCATCCATTCTTACATTAATACTGGAAGTACAAGTGAGGGAGGAAAATGAGAAATTCTGCATCATTAAAACTAAAAATAGTCCCAAACATTTCACTTCTTTTCACATTTTGTACAGTCGTGCCCAGATGGAGAGGTGGGTGTGGGGGAAGTACTCACAGAGATCACCCTGTCGCCTACACGCAGCGTGCTGTCTCTGTGTGCCGCTCCACCCTCTGCAATGCGAGAGATGTAGATTCCCTAAAAAACAGACAAAAGAAACATGTTAACAACTATGATGCACTTTCTTTTCTGTTTTAAAACCATGACTATTGTTTTAAAAGGTGTTGGTAATAGACTGTAATTTAAAATGGATAAATAAGTCATTATTACATAAATATTTTGTTTTCCCATGTGACTACACAGCCTCATTATTCAGCGGTGGACCATCACTACAACAATCAAGTCCACGTCCACATTGTGATGCATCTAAATACTGGGAAATTTCCACTTTTCTTGCTAATTCTGTTATTAGTGAGTATGTGATGTCCCACATTGAGAACCACAGACAAAAAGACAAATGATAAATTCACTCATTACTAACAGAAGGTTTTATAAAAGGTAATAGTGAGACAACCCACAATCCCACTAATTTGTACATAATGTAAAAACAAACAAATTCAGAACAACTGATTAACAGCAAAGTATTTTATCATTAAGAGCAGAACCCCTGAGGTATATTACCCCCATGGTCCAAACAAATTACACACTTTGTTACACCAAATAAAATGCTGCTGAACTTCTAGTCGGTGACACCAAAACTAAATGTGTAAACACACGCAGGAGCTAAGTTTACAGCAACGTCTCCTCACATCAACAACTGCAATGCCACTGCATCTATTTCAAAAAGCTTCTGAAAGGGAGGCATGACTTACACTGAGATCAGCCTAAATCACACGTTTATGAGTCCTTTCCTCTTTGTGGGCTTCATGAGCTGCACAAGTTGCAATGTGGTATCGCCCTGGCCCAAATATACACCTCACCCTGTCCAGTTACAGCGAACCTATCAGGTGTCAGGGCTGGCTATTCATATCTCTGTCTCCCTGGTGATGGCTGTAAACGCAGATCCCAATGGCTGAGACAGTCACTGAAAACACTTTGTGACCCAACTCCCCAATTTCAAGATTATACGCACATGTTATAAATAGGTCATTTATTTAACGAACGATAGATTGTGTCTGCAGCCTTAAATATTTGTCTCAGCTTCATCTTTCCCCTTTAAATGAAACACGTGATCTGAATCTACAGACTTCATTAGTCTGATTTGCACTTGGACAATTTAAATATTGATGTGAAGAATGTCATAGGTCAGGGAAGTGACCTGAAACATGTTGATTTACACGTTCCACTGTGTGCTTTAAATATTAACCTATTGAAAACATAACAAGTTAAAATATGTATAATTTTTTGTCTACAGACAAACAGACTTGTGGTGATGAGTGTGATGTTTGAGTCTCACCGTGTCTCCTGTGCGGTACGCCGTGGAGCCTTTCCCCCCTGCGATGCTGAATCCCAGCCCCTTGTCATTGCGGAACAGGGAGGTGGACAGCCGCTGCCTGGGACCGCTGAGGCTCGGCTCCATGTTGAAGGCGATGCCGCTGCTGCGCCTCTCCCGTGGGAAGTAGTCGTCCTCCGGCCTCAGCGGCGTGGTGGTGATGGCGTTCTCTGGTTCCACCATGCGCTCCCGTAGCACTGACATGGAAACTGAAGCACCAGAGCTGCGGAGAGCTTCCACCGCTGTGTGATGTTCTGCCTCATTGAGGTCGACTCCATTCACCTGTGACAAGGAACAGAGAACATGAAATGCTTCCTAATGATAGATCTTCTTATCAAACAGAGGAGAGTTTCAAAAGATAAACAAACGTAAAGTGAAAATGTTGGTGTGTTTCCTCGGGTCTTTACCTCTAAGAGTTTGTCTCCCACTTTGATCCCTGCTCTGGCTGCAGGTCCCTCTTCAGATACTCTGGAGATAAAGATTCCCTGCAGACACAATGAAAACAGAAACATGAAGATATGTTTTCTATTACTGAATTACCAAACATATCCAGATTGCAGGTGGGGCTCTCACCTCGTCATCTCCTTTGTAAGGCGTGGATCCTTTCCCTCCGGCAATGCTGATTCCCAGACCGCCTGTTTGTCGTTGGATGGTCAGGGTGTGCTGCAAGTTGAGGAGGGGGGAGTCAGCACAACTACAAGTGAAATCCTGTTTAACACCACTTCACTTGGGACAGATTGAGAGGGAGGTAAGCCCACAATTTTTTTAATGTTCGATAATTTTGCCAGTTATTTTCACAGTTACTTTTTAAATTTAAGTTGTGGGTGATCTCCCTCTTCCTGCCAGAAGGTGGCGTCAATCCTTTAAGGGTCATCCTGTGATCATGCCATGTGGATGTAGGAATGACAGAGAGACACTTTGACTTGTTAGAAGCCTAATGTCAATAAAAGTGGAAGGTGGAGTTTTTTTGTGCCTTAATTTGAGATCATGTTTGTAGGTTTGTTCAAAACATGTCTTCTCACTTTACTGACGTTAGACTTCAGATATAAACTGTCAGAAGCACTTGGATTCAGAGTCTAGACCCTCACAGAAAATATACTGCAATGTATTGTATATATTTGGAATAGTGGTCAAAATGTGAGGTAGAACTAAATAAGTCTTAACAGACTGTGTATACATTCTGTGTAAATGCAAGCCATGCAAAAAGGAGGAGGAATAAAGACAGATGAGGTACAGGTGGAAGGGAAAAGGGAAAGAGGAGTGTGCCATGTCCTGGATGTGGAGACAGTTCTTTAGTGGTGTTCAAACCCCAGCAGATGTGATAATAAGATGATATCATCCAATAAAATGTTCAACAAAATGCAGTTTTCATACACAATCATATGCAATACTGCAAAAAAACATGCAAAAAAAAAAAAAGGAAAACAAATCAACACGGGAAGTCATGATGGCAAATATATAGAGTACGCTATGTTAAGTATCTAATCTATGCATCGTGACGTTATAGAAAATAATATTATCTATCAGGAAGTCAGCTTCTTCTCTCATCTGGAGCTCTTCTTCTGGCAGCTGAGCTACAGGCTCTTTCTGTTTACCTGTGTATCTAAAACAGAAATAAAAACCTGGAGGAAACAGGTGATGCGGACTTGCCTCATCACAGTGTAATAACGTAAGCCCACTCACACCAGGGCAACACAGCGTGGACAGGAGGATGAAAAGGGGCGAAGCGGCAGAAGCAGAGGAAAGGCAGGAGAGGTGTAGTGTGGCAGAACCGGATACAGGACTGGGATTTGTATAATTATGCTGACAGGTTTAACTATATCAAGCTTTCTCAGCATTCATGGATAAAAAGGTGACGGGATGGCAAGTTAATATAAGAAAATATATATCGCCTAAATAAGGAACTTTGTAGATGTAGGGGACTAATGAAGTTTCCAAAAATGTAAATAAGGCACCAACAAGTTTCAGATGCTGTGCAAACAAACGTTTATTCGGGCCCTACTTCACCCAGCGTTACTGAGTTAGATGTTAGTCTGTTGCACTAACAACCTGCTCTCAATATTTACTTTGCACTGTTTATTCAGCGAATAGCCGAACAGGACTCGGTGGATTACACATAATTACTCTGTGCATCTAACCATGCAGGGCGTTGAACCTAACCTTTTCAAGTATCAACAGAAAAAGGGCAGTAGCCCACAAATGCTGCTCTCCTGACATGGATCTTCCACAGAGGAACAAAGGAAACAGCAGCATTTCGGAGGTTTCTGTGAAATATATGGAAATTTTGTCTAAAATCCCTGACGGACTCTGATTCTGACAAAAAAAAGTTTATAAAACCCTCACTGCATTTCAATATCACAATTTAGGGCCCCTGACCTCCTGTTGTAGTGGAAAACAATACATTTAAATAAAATATGGTCATTGTGCTCTTGCATCCGGGCTCTGCCACACTGCCCATCTCACAAATGAGTTATGGTTAGGGGGTCCCTAGTGATTGGCTTGGAATAACAATGGATTTCTGTGGGTATTTTCTCCACCTCTGAGTACAGGTGGGTGAGAGAGTGGGTGAGTGAGGGACACAGAAAGACAGAGTGGAAAGAGTAGGTACAGACCTCTTCCTCCTCAATTCGAGCAGGTTCAATCAGCAGATTATTGACTTGATCAAATGACACCCCCTGTTAGGACAGGAACCAGCAAGAGGCATGCGGATTAGTCAGGCCAAAATAAAAATATGCTCACGCGCACACACAAGAAAAACACTTTCACACACTTTCCATAAACGTCACCAAACACACACACGCACACACACTCCGCTGTCTGTCCACTGTCTCCACCGGGAGAGGCCACCGCCAAGCAGAAGCGATATGTTTCATTTGCTCCCCAGCCACCAAAAGCAAATACAGGCAGAGATGGAAAGACAAGACCCAAGGAGCTGAGCTACAGTGCAAAACATACAGTGTAGAGAGAGCGGACAAAAGAAGGCAAAAGCTCCCAAACCAGAAGAAGCCCAGCCTCCACACCACAAATAGCAGTTTCCTCCAGTAGCAAGTCTTAATTTAGACATAAGGCCTCTTTAAACACTACGAGACATTACAGAAGATTCAGCCTAAAAAATATCATTAAAAAAGTTTAAGAAAATAGGTAAAATTCTAGAAAATATTAGAATCTTATTATCAATAGTAACTTAAATATCCCATGATAGATTATTACCATATGATACAAACAAGGCTCGTTAGATCTCACATTCCAGCTCTGCCGATACATGTTCTGGTTGGTCTGATGTCATCAACACAAAATACACCCACACACACAAAACAGATTTGGAGAGATGATGTTTGATCATAGTGTTAAAAAAATTATTTCTACAATTGGCATGATAAATCAACAGAAGCCTCCGGCAAATACTAATGATCAATAAGGTTTGTTTTCATAAGTAGCACTTCAGCACTTCACTCACTCCATTCACACCAGCAGACACACACAATGTTATAAAAAAAAAAAAAAAGCAGCGAAATGTGAAAATGTAAAAATTCTAATAAATCAGGAGATGGCTGATAATATGGTGAGAAGTTTAGTATTGAATCAGGCGAGTGTTGTGCAAGAAGGGCTGAACTCAGCCTGCAGCCGCTTGTGCTCATATCTCGTATCTCTACGTAAACAAAGATCTACGTTTACGGACACAGAAACATTTTAAGTGCTGTTTCTCTGATCTTTCACTGAAAATTAAGATAATAATTATGTTTACATGGACACCAATATTCCGATTATTGACCTTTTTCAGAAAAAGACATTTTGATTATGTTTACATGAGTTGCTAACAGAATATTTCATTTATATTCCAGTTTACATGTTACAGAGTCTGATTATCATTACATCCAACCTCAGTTGGGTGTTTCAGTCTAATTTTGCATAAAGTACTTTTTATTTTTCCTTCTTGTTTACACCCAGGACATGCATCATCAAGCAGTAAGTGACTGCTGTACATTGAAAATGCTGTGAAAAATCCAATGGAACATTATTATTTATGTCTTATGACCAAAGTCTGAGTTCTTCACGTCTGTCTCCACAATGCTTATTTCGTGTATGACCTTATTTGGGTTGAGGTAATGAGAAAGGGCTGTTTACATTGCAGTGTTTTATTGAGACTATTGTCTTAATCAGGTTAATATTGGAATACTGGTGTCCATGTAATCATAGTCCCTGTGGTGCTAATGACATGATATGTAAAGCTAAAGACATCTTGTTTTTGTGAGACATAGCAAATGAAAGTTCTGCAGGAGCTGATAATACTGAAGAGTTTGAGGTTTAAATAAAAAAAAATTCTGAGGTGGGAAAAAAATCCCCCTTGATTTACAGCACAGGTGTAGACGTCTTTATTTTCACAATGACCCTGCATGCCATGCCGCATACTTAAAAGATGCAAGCAGCCCACTCAAAACTTAATGCAACTTGCAAGGTGGTAAGGGCACTCTATGCATACAGTATTAATTGTTTGCATAGAGGCGATGAGCAAGTCAAAACAATATTCATTAAAATATATTCTTACAACATAAGAATATTTCGAAGCACAAAACAAGCGAATTTACTGATTTGATGTGTTATGTAGCTGTATTTTTCTCCAAGTGAAATTCCCTTTCTTATATGTTCTTATTTCTATCCAGCTACTCCTGGAGCTGCATCCTACCAGTGCTGGGATCTCTCCTTTACCTTTACTTGACTGGAGTTGACCTGTTGCCGGCTGTCCTCCAGCTCATCCATTCTGTGATGGTGCTGAGGGGTACCAATACTGTGCTCATCCTCCTCATCCTCAGCCGCCTGTATCGGAGAGTTGAGGCCGTCAGGGCCGTAGCCCTGCAGCAGTGCGGCGACAGCTTCGGGTTTGGGCAACTTGGTGATCTTGAAGTGCTTCTTGTAATGTGGCGTGTCCTTTCTGATCAGACGCTGCTTCTCTGCAGGAAAAGACGGTCTATCGTCTTCTTCATCACTCCTCTCACCATCTTCCCCATCCTCATCGTCGTCCTCATCCCCACCGCGGATGATAGGCTCTTCTGCAAAGTGCACAGTGGGCTGGAGAACAGGAGAGTTTAGAGTTTCAAAACAAATATACACTAATGAAAATACTCTCTGTCACCAAGTCTGAAGAAGTTTTGATTTTTCACCTCAATGTACTCCACCTCCATCTCATCAAGCTCTTCCTCCTCCTGAGGGGAATGGCCGTCCACAAGATCCTCCCTCTGCGAGACAGCAGTCGTGTTTTGTCTCTCGTCATGGGAGGTGGCCGATAGTGTGCTGTTGGATACCTGGGAGTCGTGACTTTGATTGGAGAGGTCGCTGAGCCGTTTCTCCTAAAACCAATAACACCAGTGTTAGTTAATTAGATAGTTAATTAGTTAATTCAAGTGTTCACAAGATTTTGGAAGTTTAATGATTAAGACAAAAAATGCTGCTTCTACTACTTCACCAGCCTGTTAGATTACGTCAACCTGCAGACCTGACATAGTCATCATGTTATAGTATGTGTTGCACCTGTGGGTCAGAGGACTCTTCTTCTCCATCAAGTCTGGTTGTATAAGCCTCGTTCCTCCTTTCCTCAATCACCTTCTTCATCACCTTCAGCTCACTGGGGTGCGGTGTGGCTCTGCGCTGAAGACCCTGCAGAAAAGGCAACAGATTAAAAACCTCATTTTGACAACAAATGTGGATCATTGTGAAAATAAAAAACAATCCATAATCTTTAGGACTTGATTTATTCTTTACTTGAAGAGTTACAACTCAGTGATAATTAGCTCAATTAGCTCATTGATTAAGATTCCTCACTCTGCGCTCTGCAGCAGCCTCATCATCCTCCTCCTCAGCCTTGGTCTCTTCCTGGAACTGAATGACCGACACTCGGTTCAGGTTGCTGTCTGTCCAGCTGTCATCCACACTGTTCTGCAGCAAGTTTTCTGTGGGGGAAAAGAATGAAAAGTGCACACAGAGAAGGATGTCAAACTGACGTAAAAGATACGCACACATCAAAATGTACGAGCAAAGTGCCACTCACCTAGGCTTGGGGAAGGTTGCTGGGGCAGTAAATAGCAGGTCAACACCTTCTCTCCTGTTCGCTCATCGTCCTCTGTCTGGAACTTGAGCATTGGCTGTGACTGGTTCTCTGCGAGCCACATGGCCTTCAGATTGAGGTTTGTCAGAGCAAAAGGCAAGTTTTGTAATCTGGTGAGAAGAGGAAATGAGGTGAGATGAGCTGCAACATCTTCTTTATCAGTGATTTAAGGTGAAATACGATCCACCTATGACCTGAACCACTTCTAATACACAACATGGGTCAAAAGTACGGCTGTAGGCAATTTTGTTTTTGAATCAAATAAATAAATTAAACTTTATTTTAATTGAAACAAGAATTTATTTTATTGATATTTTATTATGAGAGTACCCTGCAGTTCAACGTGGAAATAAATAATTCTAATATTTGATTGATTGACAATATTTGAAATTTGTGAAGGAAAATGTTGGTATGTTTCTTCGCTTTATTGGATGGCCTTAAGTTTTCTCCTCCAGAATAGTGAAGACAATTGATTGAGGAGCGTTACCATTAAGGAAGGAGTGGTTTTAATCAGCTCATGTAAACGATTTTGTCTCTCTGAGTTGTCAAAGTGATCTGTGTCGACAGCATTAAGACTCATTCATTTCCAAACTGATTCATGATCATATTGCGAGGGATGACAGCTCGGAGTTAGAGCACCGCCCTGGTAGGTGGGACTGGAGAGCTCCCCGCCTTTATGAACATTATTTACGTATTCACAAAGAGGTTTGCGGGTAAGGAGTGAAGGGGAGGAAGGAGAGAAGGGGAGTGGGTAGGTAAAGAAGAGAGGAAGTGTTTTAGTCTTGTAAGAACATCGTCCACCACTTGTCTCCTTGTCTTTCCTGCTCCTGAGGTTTAGTCTATTTCACCTCGTCGTCCTTCTTCACAGTTTCCACAGTGGCTCACTGTCTTTATGTTTGAGCTCAGGCTCTCTTCCACCTGAGTGAGGTCCAGGTGGTGACTTTCCTTCAGTGCATCACACTGGGCCTCACAGCTCTTCGGCTCCTTTTCCTTCACGGTGAGGGCGCCCGGGCAGTCAATGTAGGCATTGGTTTGCTTTTTCTCAATCTCCCTCTGAATGAGTTTGTCCCTCTCTCTACCCTCATCTTCAAGCTTGTTTTTTTCGCTGATCAGCCTTTTCACTGTCTCCTTCAGAGCAATTATTTTCATCTTCAGAACCCCCACCTTTTTTCCACAGGCCTTTTCCAAGTGAGTGAGGGCCAGGTGGTAACTTTTCTTCAGTACATCACACTGGGCCTTACAGCACTGAAGCTCACTCTCCTTCAGGGTGAGGGTGCCAAGGCAGTCAAGGTAATTGCTGGTTCGAGCTCGCATTTTCTCCCTTTCCTTCTGTATGAGTTTGTCCCTCTGTCGGACCTCATCTTCCAGATTGTTTTTTTCGCTGATCAGCCTGTTCACTGTCTGCTTCAGAGCAGTGTTTTCCTCCTGGAGAACCCCCACCTTCTTTCGGCAGGTCTCTTCCACCTGAGTGAGCTCCAGGTGGTGACTTGCCTTCAGTGCATCATACTGGGCCTTACAGCACTTCAGCTCATTCTCCTTCAACGTAAGGGGGCTCAGGTCGTCGGTGTAAGCGTTGGTTCGAGCTTGACTTTTCTCCATCTCCCTCTGTATGATCTCGGCTTCAGCGCTCAGGAATTCATTCTCGAGGCTCTTGACAATGTTCTGGTTCATTCTCGGTTAGTAGAAGTACTTGTTGCTATTGAGGGAAATCGGTGTCTCAAATGGTGGTTCGGTCTCTTGTCAGAAAACGCTGTTGCTCTGTTCAATATCAAGGAAGCAACTGAAGAATCTCCTGCAGATTGCTATGATTTACCAAGTTGGCAGGAGATCAAAGCCACAACTCCCTATAGCCTATAAAGTGTGACTGAGCTGCTGTATAATAGGTGAAAGGGAACGAATGGCAAAATAGTGCTATTGGTTGTTTGGTACTGTAAAAGGCAGATTAGCGGTTCAGACTGGGCTATTTTTTGTTGTGGAATAATGCCTTGCAGTGCATACTTTGTTTTTTGTCATATTTTTTTGTATTTAAGAGAAGATGATTGAATAATGTTGTGTATTAGAAGTTGTTTAGATAACTTTAAGTGTTCAGTGAAGTTACCTGTTTCCAGCCACATCCAGCACATGCAGCTCAGTAGCATCTGCAAGCTCAGCAGGCAGTTTGCCAAGGCGGTTGTCTCTCAATGAGAGAACGTTGAGGCTGGAACAACCGCCCAGCTCTTTGGGTACACTGCCCAAACGGTTGCGGTCTACATTCAGGTTGGTCAGCTTCTTTAGTTTGCCCAGAGAGCGAGGAAGTGACTTTAAGGGAGGGAGACAGAGGCCATCAATAATCAGTAAAATCAATATTGACAGGTAATAGCTGCTAATGGGACTCAGATAATAATGGACGTGCATTAAATCCTGCAAGGCAGTCGTGAGCAGTTTAAATCCTTACTTGTAAAAGGTTCTCCGTCAAGACCAGCTCTGTGAGGTTTTCACACTCTCCTATTGAATCGGTCAGGTGGGTTAGTCTGTTCTGGTCCACCTTCAGTATAGACAGCTGTTTCAAACAACCTAGGAGCAAAGCAGGAAGGTGTTGAACAATCTGCAGCAATAAGACACCAATATAATTACAACTTGAGGACCATACAAATCTTCACTGACAAACTCATTTATCATCAGTGTTTGTTAAAATCTTAACGAGCAATATTAAAGTCTTAACAGTTTTTTTTAAAACCCATGCTCTGGACTATTTTTTCCACTAGAGGGCAGTGCTGTTCTTACTTAGAGTAGCAAAGCCACCAACAGTGAGAATGTCCCTGGATTT